AAATTAAAAAACTCTATCCTATCCCGCGGATCCCGCGCGTGATCCCGCGCGGCTGCGCGGGATTTTAAAAAAACCGCAATTTGCCCATCACTAACTACAATTATCTACATGCGGAAGTTTTGACCTTCTGAACTTTTCTCTTTTACAATGTGTTCATATTATATATAATAATAATTTACGCAGTTACTTCTGTACACATTAAAGCCGTTTTACTGTGCCGTTGCTAAACTATATCGAGGAGTATGTAATCGCATAAATCCTAAACCCCATTTCAAAAAATTTTTCTCCACAAGGCTTACGAATATTCAAAAAATTTAAAAGCAACTTAGAGATAAGTATGCACTAATTTCGAATTAATGCTGAGGTCATATAACATCCAAGTGACGAATAGAAAAGGAATAATTAGTTAAGAAAATGGATTTCATTCTCTAAAAAATTTCCTTGCAAACTCTTGGCTTCTTTGCATTAACGAATTTTTTTTGTAAATTTGGCACAGACAGAGTTGGTCACTAGACCTTTTTTTATAGCAACAATTTGCTTATATTTTATTATTAGGACTATAACTGAATTAAGCTGGACTGATTAAATTATATAAAACCGGATTGTTCGGTTTCTTAAAACTGATTAACTTAAGCACTGGGAATGATTTACAATAATTGTACCCTGATTTAGCATTGCGATCTGATTGGTAGATCAGTCACGTTATATTGAACCTTTTGAAAATCATCGTTATGTAAAAACAAACATAAACGCAAACATTTGCAACACAAAATTTGCATTCTAATTTTTTGCTAACTACACACTACACCACAAAATGGCGAAAATAGATTACGTAGACCTTGTCACGATGAGGTATAGAGGCTCTTTCTCATACATTAATGACAACAGAAGAGTTGTCAGAATAGACAACAACATTAAATTAAAGATCGAATCATTAGGCCAAGGTGTTGCCCGAATTTACTTCGTAAATAGGCATGATAAATCTATCCAAATCCCTAACGGCTTTACTCTCTGGGATACCATTAGAAACACCAATGTACCACCAAGGATCGTCAATGGATATGGTAGTTTTTTCATTAATTGGACCAACAGCTATACATTATTCCAGAATGGCATTGAAGTTCTTGCGTTACAAAATCAGATGCAACAATCATTGACAGGTGTGGATTCGTTTGAATATGATGTAGAAATGGGTCCTTAAAAATGTATTTGAATATTTATCATATCATGTTCTACACAATGTTAAGATTCGCATTAAATTACTTATTGAATAGATACGTATGTAATTAGCAAAATGAAATCAAGTTTTATACCATAATAATGGCAGGGTCTATTTTAATCACTAAGTGAACGAAGAATTAAATGTTTTAGATGCTCTGATAAGCATTTGTCTGAAATAAGATTTGAAAAGGCAAGAAATTCAAGTAGTTATAAGTAATAAAAACATTGCACATTATACGAATGAAATAAGAAAAGAATTCGATTTATTTTTGGTCTAACATTTTTACATCAGCAAATTCATATCCCGTAATTACACGTAGGAATTACAAGAGTCTGTAGTCAATACATAGAAATCATACGTGCATTGGTCAGATAAACAACTTACACGTGTTAAATATGGTTTCGTATATGTTATACTATTGTGGTTTAGACATAAACATATAGACACGTGTATTTGTCAGATATACAACTTACTCGTATAATTTACACATTGTTGCGCGGCAAATCGGCGAGTCTGTCGCTAATTCCTTCCAATTCTCGTGTAACCTACGGCGGCTAAGTCGAAA